TTCAATCACGCTTTTCTTCGATTGTGAATCTAAATAAGAGAAGTTGTGTTCATTTGAATTTCAAAGTGAGAACTTTATATTTGAAGAATCTGTCTGTAAATCGAAAAACCAATCGATTGTTTGTATTTCAATGAATAAAATATTAAGAATTTAAAGAATAAGCAAATAATTGTCGACACAATGAGTCCACCAATGATTTAAAGATTATGTTTACTTATTTAGAATTGTCTGAAATAAAGCCAATATATTGTAAGAGAGAGAGAGAGAGAGAGAGAGACTCAAATGTAAGTTTACTTTGTATTTAAAATGGTCTGAATTTAATCATAGATTGCTTTTTGAAACGTAAAGGGAATCTTGATTTATATTTAAAAGAATTAAAATTGTAAATTATATTGAATTGAATGCCGGCAGCAATAATCGATTGCCAGTTATTACACGAATCACTTCGTGATCGCCGTATTTGTTGGTCTTTCTATGGATTGTTTGCCAAATCTTGTGCATCACTACTGAGTACTAATCACAGAGAAATAACTATCAAGTTGTTAAAGCTTTTAATTTGTTTTGTTTTAAATTAAATCTCAAAACATGTAAAGAGAATGACCATACTTTAGAAAATGTCGCCTGATCTGGATGAAAATTTTTTCATGATTAAAGCATTAATAAAGAAAAATAAATATACAAAAAATAATATTCTAAGTCAAGAATTTTTTAGATATTTTCGGAGATTTTTCAAAATACAAAATCAATTTGCTAGATAACTAAACAAGATATTTAAAAAATTCTAACGGATCCATGAAGTGAAAGTAAAGTAGCATACATATTATAAGAGTGATTTCATTTAAAATTAATTTTAATCACTATAAATTACAAAATGCTCCTGACCATTCCACCAGCCAATAACCACAAGTTTCTTTGCATATTATTGTAGAGTTTAAAAAGATCTTTCAAATGATATATATATTGATAGTGGTTATATTCTGGTGTCATATACATTTTAAGCAATTTGTAATTTAATTGTTATTTTGAATAACTGAAATCAATTTTTAATGAAAACATCTTTTTAATATTTATACTACTTCACATTCAATTCATAATTCCGTTGAAACTTTTAAAATAACTTGTTTAGTTATCTCGGAAATTGATTTTGAATTTTAGTATCATAATATGATCCAGTTACAATATGTTTTGACTTACAAAAATAATTTTTACATTTTTCGTTATTGTATGCTATAATGATTATCATAGATTCATCCTAATATTAGTTTTAATTCATGCCATTCAAATCCTGTGATCCTCTTTTAGTGAAATTATTTTAAATATGTTATTCCTATAAAATTATGATCTATAATACTGTACATTATAATAAACTATTTTATAATTTATAAATGTTATTTTATATGTAGATATATTATTAGTTTAATTAATTATAAATAGATTGAATAATTTGTAAAAAAATTTTCAATAGAGAGAAATTAATGAGTTTCTAACAAAAACTTTACTTAATTTATAATAAATCCGTTAATAATTAAAGATTTAGACAAAATTGAGAAGTAAAGGATTTCTGTCAAGTTTTGCACACTTTAATGGCTTTAATTTGTAATGATATGAGTGTTTTAGAAAATAATTTCCATAAAACTACAGTATATTTATAGAACTTCTATGAAAACAATTTTATATATCAATCGTTAATATTATCTTTTAATTTATTTGAAATAAAAATTTCTAGCATTTTGTATAGTATTAATGTTGTGATAAGTGATGCATATTTAATTTGAAAGATTATATACAAATATTCAGATGAGAAATATATTTAAAACATAATTCCTTAACGTTTCCAAAAGTGATAAGTTTATCACAAATTATATGATACTTACGTTTATTTCATTTGTTATAAACTCATGGATGTGTCAGATCTTACATGAAATAAACTTCTCTAAAATAAGTTTTACATTTTAATTTGCAATTTAAACAATAGTAGGCAATCAAGCATTGGTTCTGTCTTTTGACAGTGTATTAATATTTATGACTTTTTATTATTATATATTTTGGAAAGTCTTACAAACAATTTAAAACTAGTAAAGGGCGGAGAGAGTGAACACTTTGCTCAAGAAGAACATATTCATAGATAGAAATAAAGAAAGGAGAGAGAGAGAGAGAGAGCAAATAATATTATATAGTTGTTTTGAGGGCAAATGCATTGAAAACAACGCCTTCAGAGAAATTTTGTTAGGTTTAAACTAAATATAATATAATTTTATATTAAATATTAAAAGATTTCCTTTTTAAAAAAGTTTGAAAATACTACAAGATTTCGGCTTTTTGTTACAGTTTTGAGAGAATTGATAAAGAATTAAATTATAATAAAAAGGTCTATGTACTGTTTTCAGTTACAGTAAACAATTTACTATCCAATAACGTTATTTTAAAAACTCAATATAAAATTAAATTATAATTCAACTTGATATACGGTATTGCTCAAATAGAATTTTGCTGAATATTTTACTTTAACTCAATTAATGATATAATACTGTATTGTTATAACATTTAGTTAACATTAATGTATCGATAAGTTATATAAAATTTAAAATTCACAAACACTTATATCTCAAATCGAAAACTTTTATTTTTATCGATTGAATCGGAAAATACAAATGCAATGGAAATGTAAGGCCAGGCGATGGGAACCTGTATTGTCGCGCCTGCGTCTGGTCTGAAGCCAAACTCAATCTCGAATTCGAGAGAGACTTATAAACAGGTATTGAAGTTAT